AACATATCAATATAATTACCCTACTATACCTTAATAATCCTAATATGATTATACGTATAATCATATACAATCACAATATTGACCAGAATATTTCTGTATCTAATGCGATTCTGTACCATAAGAACTAACACAAAGCCCATAGAAGGATTAAATATAAAATTAGAATGTGATTTTATAAAGTTATCTGCTCTTGCAATAATGGTCTCCTTGTTATTTCGTTGATAAACTTCTTAAAATGTGGGAATATTAAAGCCAGGTACAGGTTAGGGTTACTTTTTTTATGCATTATAGTTAGTGGCTGATATAAATGTCAAGAATACAATTTATGCAGCATATGAATGTGCATACCTAGCTTTAACGGATCCTTAAAATAGAAATTTATAAATGAATGTAAATGTTAAGCACAAAAAAAGTAATAATACTAAAAAAAGGTAAAGCTACTCTAAAAGCTATTAAAAAAATATGAAAATTCATAATAAGTTCGACTTTAATTTCACACGAAGGAAAAAAATATAAAAAATACTAGCTAGTCTAGATAAATAAAGTAAAAGAAAACAATAGATGAATACTTCCCATTCAAAGCCTTCAGCCCTAATTCTTTAATTCTCATAGCATAAAGATGGAATAAGATAGAAAGTTTATAAATATACGCATACTAATAAAAATAACTTGACTTTGGATAATTTTCTGCTTGATAATATTCCCTTTAATAAGTTGTCTTCTTTTTGTTCTAACTTTGTAGCCTTTCGTTAATTGTAAATCTTCGATTTGGTAGCAGTAATATAATTACTATAAATATCTTTTTTTTTTAAAAAAAAAATTAAATGTCAACTAAACCTAAATAAATACGAACTGCAATTAGTGATGATTTTAAACAGCAAACTTGTGAATTTGCAGTTAAAAACTCACACTATAACTATGCACAAATTACGGAATATTTTAATCAAATTTTCAATTAAATATCTATCGTACAACTGTTTCTAAGATTATTAATGAGAAAGATAAATGGCTAGCAGTAGTTTCTAATGAATTAGCAAAAAATAAGTTCCGTCACCGTTCCCCAAAATTTCCATTACTCGAGAAAGCTATGAGCTTATGGATCAAAAGTACAATTATAGCTAAAATTCTAATTAGTGAAATGTTAATCAAAGAGAAAGCAAAATTTTTTATGGAAGCTTTTAATATAGAAGAGTCTGATTTAAAAT